AGCTTGAGGCTCTGTCTCAAAAAATAAAAATAAATTAAAAAAAGAAAAAGTTAAATTTAATATGTTTTTTAAGTTCTATGCAAACAAGAAACTACTAAGCCTCAGTGTTCCATGCTAATCCAAAATAATAGGATTGGATCAGTAATTTTTATAGGCCCTTTTTAAGATTTATTATTCTCTTATAATAAAATAAGATGTCATCTCCTTTTTTCTCTTTTTGCTATTAACTTTGTGCATAACACCAGTCTTTGTGCTAAGCCTCGTACTTAAATCTCTTCCCCTTCTGAGATATTGGGCCAAAAATGAAATTCTGAACCAATTTAATGTTGATCTTAGCTCTTTATTATACCTGTTGGGGGTAAATGAACATTTTCAAATTTTGAATCTATAAACCAGTCAAACTAGAAAATGCAATTTTAATTTGTTATTTTTAATAATAGTAATATGTCACATAGAAGAAAACAAAACAAAACAAAACAAAAAAACCAACAGATTATGCAGACTCTTCTAGCCAGTAACTTTAATGTGCTACTTAAAATGCCTTTTAAGAAAAATTTGTGAGTAAATTTGATTGATTCTTACCTTAGGGTAGTCCTCTAAGTACTGATGCTTAGTAGCTAACTGTGAACTAAAAGAAAACACGTGATGATGGACCTTAGGTTTGTATGTAGTATTTACACCTAGTGCCTTAGATTCTGGACTTACTTCTTCTAGCCAAATCGACAGACTTCCACCGGCAGTTCGGCCAAAATGTCTACTCCAGCCGACAAGGTGTTACGGAAATTTGAAAATAAAATTAATCTAGGTGAGTTTACAAAATATTTTACCTCACTGGGCTATGTGGCAATTCTTTGAAAACCACAAAGTGTTATGCAATTTTAATATATTCAAGTGTTACTGACTCAATAATAATGCTTGGAGAAAATAAAACTTTTAATGATATAGCTTCAAGGAAAGACTTTAGCTTGTCTTGAACTAACAATAGTCTGTATTCTCACCTGTTGTAGAAGTATGAAGTTACAGGTGTCTATTCAAGTTATTGTCTGTTCTGTATTGGATTTTGTAGTATTAGGGTCATCTTATAGTATGTTAAAAATGGTAGAGTGTTAAATATAGTTACATCTTGTTTTACTGGAGACTTTTTACATAATTGTTAATTATTTAATGAGTTGTTTGATGTTGGAAATCAGAATGTTGATTTGAATCATCCCTCTTAAAAAATGCAAGGTCATTCTTTATTCTTACAGACATTTACTCATTATTGTCATCTTAGCACAGTGTCTCTTATATACACTGTCAGTGCAGCCTGAATTGATAGTATTTTAGGGTCGTCTTTGCCTGTCATAGACCTGTAACTTGAAATGAAACCAAAGCTTTTAGAATTAAACTTGGAATACAGGCAGCTGTATAACCTGTATTATTAGTCATACAAAATATTAACAAATATCTGAAATTTAACATGCAAATAGAGTCTTTTTAAGAGATTTCTGCATCTAGAATTCAGTGATTCAACAATTATAGCTGTAATGAAAATAACACTTGTTATGAAGGAAACACCTTACTTCTTGCCTTTAAAAACATCTAAATTTTTTTCATTACTAAAATATATTTTATCTATAATAAAACATTCAGATAAAAGTATATAAAACAAGGAATAGGAAGGAGTGTCCTATTCAGCAAGTTCGTTAATGTCTTTTTGTCTTACATATTTACATTGTGGGTTTCTTATATTTTTAGATAAGCTAAATGTTACTGATTCTGTCATAAATAAAGTCACCGAAAAGTCTAGACAAAAGGAAGCAGATATGTAAGTAATATTTTAACAATATGGGTGGTAGGGGCTAATTCTACTAAGTATCATCTTGCTCATAATTTGTTTACAACAGTTCATCTGTATACTTAAACCAGTTTTTGTTTGTTTGTTTTAGCTTAAATCAGGGTAGTAAATACCTTTGTAAATTGAAAATATTAAATGAATCTTCTTAAAACATATATAGTAGTTGGGTGCAGTGGCTCATGCCTGTAATCTTAGCACTTTGGGAGCCTGAGGCAGGTAAACAGCTTGAGTCCAGGAATTCAAGACCAGCCTGAGCAAGATTGAAACCTTGTCCCTGCAAAACATAGAAAGATTAGCTGGCTGTGGTTGCATGTGCTTTACTCCCAGCTACTCAAGGGAGGCTGGAGGATTGCTTGAGCCCAGGAGCTTGAGACTACAGTGAGCTATGATGATGCCACTCCACCCTGGCCCAGCAACAAAGCAAGACCCTGTCTCAAGAAAAAAAAAAAGGAAGAAAATATATGATAAAACTATAATCTTGGCTCAGCACCTGTGGCTCAAGTGGCTAAGGTGCCAGCCGTGTACACCCAAGGTGGCAGGTTCAAATCCAGCTCGGGCCCGCCAAACAACAATGACGGCTGCTACCAAAAAATAGCCGGGCGTTGTGGCAGGTGCCTGTGGTTCTGGCTATTTGGGAGGCTGAGGCAGGAGGGTCACTTGGGCCCAAGAGTTTGAGGTTGCTGTGAGCTGTGATGCCACGATACTCTTCTGAGGGTGACATAGTGATACTCTGTCTCAAAAAAAAGAAAGAAAAAAGACTTTAGTTTTATACTAATAAAATCATTAAATAATGCAGACTCAATGTTTTTCGTTTTTTGCACTGTTCACTTTACCCCAGCTTTTTTTTTTTTTAATTTAATGCTTCTGGAATATGGATGGATGTTTTTCAAAATTCTTACTACGTTTGTACTTCTTTTGCTGTAGAGAACTGAATTGCATATTCAGGGGAAATGAAAGTTACACTGTGTAGTGAGGAATTTAGAGTCAGATCATAAAATATGTTATTAAAGCAACTACCTACTTAGGAATTTTCATGAAATAAAGTACATTTAAAAGCTTTTTATTTTGGTTTCTTACTGAATTTTGAATATATCAACCCTCCTTTTTTGTTTTTGGTTAGGTATCGCATCAAAGATAAGGCAGACAGAGCAACTGTAGAACAGGTACAGTTTGACTTTCTTGTAAGCTCTTATTTTAAATTAGCATTTCTTATTGAATTGTATAAAAGTTTGCTTTCATTCTTCTTGCTCAATGCTGATGTTATCTAAAATTATTCCTATATAAAATCCCCTTTGGTAGTTTAGAGTTTAGAGATCTCTGTTAGGCTTTATAATAGGACTCCTAATAGGTGACAAATCACAGTCCTGGTCCTTCTACGGCTGTACAAAGCCACCACACAGTGCTTTCCTTTTCTTGGGAAGCAGAGAGATTATCAGACTAGGAATCTTTCTTAAGCAAAGACCAGGGATTTTATGAGCTTTCTCAGAAGATAGGTTGGGTATCTGCCACAAAAACGGGGTATAGGTGTGAGAAAGAGTTAAGGCTTTCAAATTTCCAAATAGAAATCCTTTTTCTTTAAATATCATGCTGCTTTTGTTCTTCCTATTCAAGAAGCTGAAAAATGAGCCCCTAGTTTTCCCTAGTTTTTGTCCCAATTGGGTGCTGGAATTGACCCACATTTTTGATGTGAAGAAAATAATACAAAGGGCCAGAATGTAGCTATTGGCACCTGCCACTTCTCTCTCCTGCCCTTACACATACACACAAACACACATTTTGGAATTGTAGCCTTTTCCACTTATAGATTCTTGATTTAAGACGTAAGTGCCCCTCTGTCATAGTTGAAGAATTCCCTCATTGAGCGGAAGAAGAGGCTGGGGTCTGTGTCATCTTTGTTATCTCATTCATTTGTGTGATTTATTTCTGTGATTGAAAGCAAAGTATGTTTCCAAGACCCTGAAATAACTTAGGCAGAAAATTTTTTCTTTTTCAAAATTTAACTTTGAATAGTCAAGTATATGTAATAGCTTGAATTGTACACTGTCTTTTAAAAATGTATACTTGTCTATAAGTTTATCATTTTTTTCTTATTTTATTCCTGAGTATTTGGTATGTTGCTCCTTCCTTTGCCCCTCCCTTGCCTAAATACTAGTTTTGCAGAAAGTCAGGTCTCTCCCTAGATTCCTGTACTCATCAAGAAAACTTTCTCTTTGCTTACCTTTGCAGTATTGAGGGAGTAGGAATTAGTGCCTGTCCGTTTATCCACTCACTTTTCTTTCATTCTTCTCTAATTACAATGGCTGTAGTTTGGCCAGTCTTTCATGGTGGGTTTGTTTATACATGTGCCTTAGGTTTCTGACACCTCATTGATGGATAGACCCTAAAGTATTAGTTGTGTTTGATGCTGTAACCACTGAGCACTTGAAATGTGGCTATTCTAAATTCAGGTATGCTATAAATACAGAGGACACAATGGAGTGTGAAGACTTAGTATAAAAAACAGGGTTAGGGCAGCGCTTGTGTCTCAAAGGAGTAGGGTGCTGGACCCATATGCCGGTGGTGGTGGGTTCAAACCCAGCCCTGGCCAAAAATTGCAAAAAAAATAGGGTTAAATATTCTAATGACTTTTTATATTAATGTGTGTTGAAATCGTAGTATTTTAGATATATTGGGTTAAATAAAGTGTTAAAACAGTTTCACCTATTCCTTTTTACTTCTCATAACGTAGTGACTACAGAATGTACTATTATGTCACTTGAATTATATTTCTTTTTTGTTTTTGTTTTTTTCTTTTTTGAGACAGCCTCAAGCTGTCACCCTGGGTAGAGTGCTATGGCATCACAGCTCATAGCAACCTCCAACTCCTGGGCTGAAGCAATTCTCCTGTCTCTGCCTACCAAGTAGCTGGACTACAGGCGCCTGCCACAACACCCGGCTATTTTTTGTTGCAGCCGTCATTGTTGTTTGGCGGGCCCGGGCTGGATTCAAGCCCACCAGCTCAGGTGTATGTGGCTGGCACCTTCGCCGCTTGAGCCACAGACGCCGAGCCTTGAATTATATTTCTATCAGCTGATGTTGGGCTAGAGTCTATTTCTGTTTCCTTTGGACTTGATAGACTTTGAGTGCCATGACTGGATAAACTAGTTTGTTCCTTCCAGTTCCTGTAGCCTATACCTCACATTTTATTGATAAAAAATCAGAGTGAGACTGGGCATGGTGGCCCTCACCTGTAATTCTAGCACTCTGGGATGTTAAGGTGGGAAGATCACTTGAGCCTGAGAAGTTTTGGACCAACCTGAACAAGAATGAAACTCAGTCTCTACTGAAAATAGAAAAATTTGGTGGATGCAGTGGCATGCAACTGTAGTCCCTGCTGCTTGGGAGGCTGAGGCAGGAGAGTTGCTTGAGCCCAGGAGTTTAAGGTTTCTGTGAGCTGTGGTAACATCACTATACTCTACACAGAACAACAGACTCCAAAAAAATCAGAGTGAATAAAAGCACCATAATAGTGACTCTCATGTAGGCAACCAGGATAACAGTACAGTTAAGCTCTTCAGTTTATTAACTATCACAGGCTTTAATGAGAAAGATTTGGTACTGTCATTCTGAATTCTTAATTTTTTCCATCTTTTTTTAGGTGTTGGATCCCAGAACTCGAATGATTTTGTTCAAGATGTTGACTCGAGGAATCATATCAGAAATCAATGGCTGCATTAGCACGGGAAAAGAAGTGAGCTTTTCTTTGGATGACTGAATGTTTCATGTTAGTTTTCTTATTTCAGATACCAAATGAAACTAAGGCACCTAGTAAATATATTGTGCCTTTAAAGAGAAAAGAAAAAATATATATATGGGTCAAGAATGGTTAATACAATGTTTCTGAACTTGGCTTTATTAATGTTTATGGCCAGATAGAAATTTGTGCATATAACCATCCCTTTTCACTACCATTATTATATTGTGTCATTGAATCTTAATTAGTTGTGCCCAGTAGTAAGCCTAAATGGTCAGCTTCTTATAGGCCTAAGTCGTAATCACAAAATTACTAATGGAGTTGGGAGTTTGGGGTCTTTTATTTTTTTCTTTATGTAAGGATATAGAAAAGGACAGACCTGGTGTTCTTTAATTAGTAGCTTAATCTGTGAAAAGCAGCTCTCAGTAAAATTCAATTTATAAATCACTAGGCGTAACAGTATCTTTAAGTATATTTTGTGTACTTGAGGTACTGAAAAATTTGAAACCATATGTCCTAAATACTAATGGTTAAATTGTATTTTGTTTACAGTTTTGCATTGCTTAACAAAGGGACATAGTGTATATGAACATCATAGTAACACAAGCCTAGATGATAGCCTACTACATGAGTAGACTATATGATGTAGCCTATTCCTCTTAGGCTACAAATCTGTACAGAATGTTCTATATTGAATACTATAAGCAGTTGTAATACAGTGGTATTTGTGTATCTAAACACAGAAAAAGTACAGTAAAAATACAGTATTATAATCTTACAAGGTCATCGTCATACATGTGGTCCATAGTTGACTAAAGCGTTTTCATGTGGCATGTAACTGTATTTGTGTTAGAGACATACTTATTGTTTTGTTTGTTTTTTTTTTTTGAGACAGAGTCTCATTTTGTCGCCCTTGGTAGAGTGCTATGGCATCACAGCTCACAGCAGCCTCAAACTCTTGGGCTTACACGATTCTCTTGCCTCAGCCTCCCAAGCAGCTGGGACTACAGGTGCCCTTCACAGCGCCTGGCAATTTTTTGGTTGCAGTTGTCATTCTTGTTTAGCAGGTCCAGGCTGGGCTCAAATGCACTAGCTTTGGTGTATATGGCTGGTGCCCTTACTTACTGAGCTATCAATGCCGAGCCTTTTTTTCTTTTCTTTTTTTTTTGAGAGAGTCTCAAGCTATTGCCCTGGGTAGAGTGCCATGGCGTCACAGCTCACAGCAACCTCAAACTCTTGGGCTCAAGCAATTCCCTTGTCTCAGCCTCTTAAGTAACTGGGACTACAGGTACCCACCACAACGCCTGGCTAATTTTAGAGATGGAGTCTTGCTTTAGCTCAGGTTGGTCTTGAACTTGTGAGCTCAAGCGATCCCTCCACCTCAGCCTCCCAAAGTGCTGGGATTATAGGCATGAGCCACCATGCCCGGCTCATACTAGTTTTTTTGATAAGCGTTTCCTATTTTAATTCACATCTTCAAAAGATAGTGGTGTCCTGTATGTATTTTATTTCAGTTCATTTGACTTTTGAGACATTTTCAAAGACATTTAAAAATAAAAAAAGATAGTTATTAACATAAACCTCATTTTCTTTCTTTCTTTTTTTTTTTTTTTTTTTGACTTAAAATAGGCTAATGTATACCATGCTAGCACAGCAAATGGAGAGAGCAGAGCAATCAAAATTTATAAAACTTCTATTTTGGTGTTCAAGGACCGGGATAAGTATGTAAGTGGGGAATTCAGGTGAGCTCAGATCCTGCTCCCCTACCCCAAGTTGGTTTAATTTTTATTTCTTAAAACATTAAAATGGAAAACTGAAATGATTGAAATAAATACTTTTCTTGTTCAAGATTTCGTCATGGCTATTGTAAAGGAAACCCTAGAAAAATGGTGAAAACTTGGGCAGAAAAAGAAATGAGGAACTTAATCAGGTAACTGGGATATGTGTGTATGTCTGTGATTACCTTGCATATCACCCTCAGCCCTTCCTGCCAGCGTTTTCTAATCCAGTGTGCATCTGCTCAAATGGAGAGTCTTGTTAGGGCCATTCAGTTCTGTTTGCCCTGCTGAGATAAGCTGAAGAAACAGACTTCTGAACAAATCGGAACTACACTATTCTCTATTTTCAGATTTAAGAATTTATTACAGAAAAATTCTGCTTCAATTCATTTTTATTCTGCAAAGCTAGATCCTTTAGAGAGCCTCGTAAGCCACAAAAAAACATTCAGGTTTGTCCTGAGGGCAATAAGGAACTGTTAATAGGATGTTAAGTAGGATAGTGACACAACCAGCTGGTGATAATGATGGGTCACTTTTTAGTAGGTATTCTAGTCTTAGACAAGTCTTGTTCATTATATTAATAGTTTATCATGGTTTCCCTTCCTTATTTCAGTTTAATTTTGGACACATTTATATTCTCTTTGTTTGCACTAAACACCTTTTTATCAAGTAAAGACCTGTTACCTAGTGGAGATCAAGTTTACTTAAAGTTTTGGAGTTTTTATTTTTTCTTTTTTTCATTGTCCTTTAACTTTTTATATGCTGTATACAGGTGATATACATTGGATATGCTATACATTGGATAGTTTAGCACACATATTAATTAAGTAGGTACTACTTATTCTGAAAGTCCTTCTGAAATCCTCTTGTGTTCAATTCTGAGTCATGAGTCCAACAATTTTTATTAACCTTTTTTAGTCTGATTACCTCAAAGGAATGTTGTAGCTATTTGTCCTATTTTGTCAATTTTGAGTTGCACTTTTTTTTTCCACAGTTTTTTTTTTTGTTTGTTTTGGTTTTTTTGAGACAGAGTCTCACTATGTTACCCTCGGTAGAGTACCATGGCATCACAGCTCATGGGAACCTCAAACTCCTGGGCTTAAGCAATTTTCTTGCCTCAGCCTCCCAAGTAGCTGGGACTACAGGCACCCACAACAACACCTGGCTATTTTTTGGTTGTAATTGTCATTGCTGTTGTCTGGCAGGCCGGGGCCAGATTTGAACTTACCAGCTCTGGTGTATGTGGCTGGCACCCTAGCTGCTGAGCTATAGGTGCTGAGCCTTTTTTCACAGTTTCAATATTTCTAGAATTGGGTTGGGTTTTAGAGGCTATAGGATGTAATAGCTAATTACCAGGGTTTTGTCACTTTACATGGTACATGGTGGTACTGCTTAAAATCATTGGTGTTTTAGAGTTTATGAATACAGTAATACCATTGGGAGGCCTTGCTGTTAATTAGCAGCAATATTAATATTGTGGGCTGTAGCTGTCGAACTTATTTAGAAGCCCTTTCAGCTTTTTAATTTTACTTTTATCTGTTATAATATCACAGGCTAAACACAGCAGAGATTCCATGTCCAGAACCAATAATGCTAAGAAGTCATGTTCTTGTTATGGGTTTCATTGGTAAAGATGATATGTAAGTATATGAAGGGCCTAGTAATTATATTCTTAAAACTGTATTTTTTTAATTTCAAAAATTCCTTTTAAATAGGCAATGCACAAATCACCACAGAATTATTATTAAAGTGATCATATCCACAGGCTGCTCTTGTAATTATAGGCTGAAAATTTATGACTGTTCTCATTAACAGCATTTTCTCTCCTAATTAGAGTGACAAGAGCTTCTAAATGTGTAATCTTTCCTCAAGTACTACTAAAAGTATCATAAACAGTTTGTGCAGCATTCATGTACATCACCTTTTATTTACTATACTCGAGATTCATATTTAATAGTTCTCTCTTCATCTTCTTTTAAAACTGTATTTTTAAGTACTTTGAATTATCTAAAATATGAATACGAAGTCAGAAAGTTAAGTTCAGGAACTCATCCTAAAAAGAGTGCTACATACCTCATTGCTGTTCTCCGTGGCCATCTGGTGACCACAGTGATATTCAGCAGTGGGTATGTAGCACTTTTTCTAGGATGAGTTTGCCAGCTTAATTGTCAGACCTCATAGTTCCCATTTAAATAGCTTTTTCATGGCTTTTTTCAACTATATTAGTGTATATGTTTTCAATTTACCCTTTAATGTCCCCAAATGTCAGCAGGTAACCCCGTGTTTGAGGGATATTTTATGCAGTGTGATGGGAAAGCACCTGTTTGTTGGGAACTTCTTGGAATGCTTTATCTGTTGTGAGATAAATTGTCCTGCATACCGTTCGCATGATGTGTTGTAGAGAAGCACGTGTAGCTATGTAATATAAAGTAAGAAAACTTGTTCTTGGGCGTTTTTTCTTAATAATTTATGTTTATTCAAGGCCTGCACCACTCTTGAAAAACATTCCGTTATCAGAATCCAAGGCTCGGGAATTGTATCTACAGGTCATTCAGTACATGAGAAGAATGTACCAGGATGCCAGACTGGTCCATGCAGATCTCAGTGAATTTAACATGCTGTGAGTATGTCTGGTCTTTTAGGAACTACCTGTAAGTCATTTCCTGTCCATTAAAACAATAAACAGAATCCCAATGCAAGAAGTCATACTAAATTCTAAAGTTTTAAAGTTGACTTTGACATGGTAACCATCTAAGACATGGCCTTTCCCTTCAGTGACCTTGTGATCATGAACAAACTTAACGGACTTTGGAAATTTTCTCAGTGTTCACCTCTTGATAATCAAGGTGGACTCCTATCTACTGTGGTCATTCTATGAATTACTTCTCTTGCTCTTAAGAATAGAAATTTTTTTAATGATAAAATGTAGTGAAGTAGAAATATCTCCTATCTTCTGTATCTTAAAAGATACCACGGGGGAGATGTGTACATCATCGACGTTTCCCAGTCCGTGGAGCATGACCACCCACATGCCTTGGAGTTCTTGAGAAAAGATTGTGCCAATGTCAATGGTGAGTGGAAACTAGAA